GCGTGCTTCCTGGGCCCGGCCGTGCCGCGCGTCTTGCGCGCCGTGCGGTCGGGGCCACACTTGCGCTCTGCGCCCGGCGCATCGTGCGCCGTCCCCTTTCGGTTCTTTTGCGCGCATCGCGCACGCGCCGCGCCCGCGCTCTGGGTGCGCGGGGCGCGGAAGGCCTCGAGGTTGCAGGCAAGTGGCCGCGCGCGCGAGGCTCTTGCAGCCTCCGGTTCCGCCCTCGCACTCGGGCGGGGCGCCCCCGCGCGCGCGGCTGCGTCTTTCTTTTCTCATGGCCGAGCGGCCGCAGGCGTGCCAGAGCGCGAGCGCGCGGGCCGTCAGGGCCCACGCGCTCGCGTTGAGCGTGGGGCCATCAGCGCCCACGCCCAGGCGGAGATGCGCGTCGCCACGCTGCCATGAAAATACCATCGCCCTGTCCTGGTCCCCCTCTCGTCCCCTCCTCTCCTCCTCTCCCTCCGTTGGGTGCACGCGTATCTCACTTAACTTGTATAGTCTGATTGGTTGTAGACTGCAGGTTAAGTGGGTGGGGGTGTGGGCTCAGGTAGCCATTTTGGGTCCGTAGCGTTCGGCTCTGGCCGACGCGCGGGTGCCCACCCACCCCGCTTTGCTCCCAGACGCCTGCGTCGGCCGAGCGGCCGCAGGCGTGCCAGAGCGCGAGCGCGCGGGCCGTCAGGGCCCACGCGCTCGCGTTGAGCGTGGGGCCATCAGGGCCCACGCCCAGGCGGAGATGCGCGTCGCCACGCTGCCATGAAAATACCATCGCCCTGTCCTGGTCCCCCTCTCGTCCCCTCCTCTCCTCCTCTCCCTCCGTTGAGTGCACGCGTATCTCACTTAACCGATGATGGCTACGCCTAGCTGGACGAGGACCTCTGATATCTGTTGAATGACAAGTTCGAGGGCGCGCGGATCCTCGCTGAAAACATAAGGGTCTACATGAGGGCGACGGTCTATTGGCAGATCAGAAGATAAACAAGTTGTATTTGGCCGTTACCAGTGTCGCGCTCTCACGCCAGATGAACCTGGCCATGAACCCTGACATGCCCAAGAAGGTGAACGATGTGGCGACCGAATTCGAGCAACGGAGTGCGTTGGTTGAGTCACTGGAAAAGTATGGGTCCGCATACAGCCGGACCGAGGTATAAGGTCGAGGTCGGTTCGAGGATGGTGCCCTAATGTTCTTCGTGTTTGTTGGATGTTCTTGTGCATCCCGGGAAGGGTGCCCTGGGGTGTTCTGTGTGTTTTGGCCAGCGGAGGGTCTCGTGTTCTTGGCGGGTGTTCTTTTGTTTTAGGTCTTGCTGTGCTCGTTGCCATTGCCAGTCAGGGTTGCCGCGCTGCGGATTATCGTTCCTCGCGCCAGCGACGGGTTCGACGATTGGCAGCGGGATTGCTTCCAGACGCCAGAGTCGTTGGAGCTTGGCACCCGCCGGGGACTTTTCGTCAAATGCGAAAATTGCAAGGTCAAGAAGAGATTGGACGTTGGCGCGAAAAAGCAACGATTCCGTGGATATCGGCCAAGTTAACGATGAAGTTGGCGAGGGGCGCAGGCGCAAACGGTTCCGGCTATTGCGGCGAAAGCAGAAACTTGTGGACTTGGAGCGGGGAAGACGCGGGCGGAAACGGCGACGCGAATGAAGTGGGCGAAGGAAACGGCGAGGGTTAATGGCCCACGTGTTACGGGCGCGGAGGATATGGGCGCATTGCCAAAGGCTGCGCTACTAAAGGGGCCACCGAAAGAAGCGGGGGTTAACGTTGAGGACGCAGAGGTGCCTGTGGTCACCAAGGAACGCAGGTGGGGGGATGCAAAGGGAGATGCCAGTGCACCAAGGGCAACCCGGGTGGCCGCGTCAAAGGATGTTACAAAGTTAACCCCCCGGAACGTGCCAGAGGGAATCGAGCCCCAGGATGGAAAGGAGGATGCAGGTCCAGGAGGGACCGCGCAGAAATCGGGGCAACCCCCGCTTGGGTCAGGGCGCCGCAGCATCGAAATGGGCGAATCTATTGACGGCGGCGGGGCCGCCAGCAACATCGCGTGGTGATGATGATGATGATGATGATGATGATGATGATGATGATGATGATGATGATGATGATGACGATGACGATGACGATGACGATGATGATGATGATGATGATGATGATGATGATGATGATGATGATGATGATGATGATGATGATGATGATGATGATGATGATTGTGGTGGCGTGATGCTGATGATGCTGCGCTGCTGTTGCTGCTGTTGCACTTGTCGTTTGTCGTCGTTGTCTTCGTCATTGTCGTTGTTGTTGCTGCTGTTGGTACTGTCGTTACTGTTGACGCAAAGTCGGGCTGCGGCCAGAGTGGCGAAGTTCACCAAGTTTCGTCTACGAAACAGCAATCGAGATTTGTTTGACTTATTCCGAGAAGGGGGCGAAGACCAACTCACAAGCGAACAGAGGAATATAATACTTGAGTGGCAGTGCCGTACAACCTCCAAGCACTGCGAGGGTGACGGCAGCGACGACCTTCCGTCGCACCTCAGAAGCAAACAGAAGACACCCATCTACCAACCACTACCCGAGGAGCTGAAAAGCACCAGTCGCAACCCACGATCTTTTGGAGTTTTTATTTTTCTACAGGTCCAGCCAGCATGGTGTGTGCTAGCCCCAACACATTTTGGCACGTTTTTTGTTTGTTTCCTCTCTCTCTCTCTTCTGCACCTACTCCTAGAGTTGCCTGTCTATTTTACCTTCTATCGCATTGCACGTCTATTTTACCTTGACGCGGCTTGCATGGGCAAACTATGTGGGATTGCGGGGTAATGGTATGGTATTCCGCACAACGTCAAAAAGGTTGAGGAGGAGAATAATGAGGAAAAAGAAAACGAGGACGAGGACGAGGGCGAGGAGGAGGAGGAGGAGGATGAAAAAGAGGCGCAGGAGGGAAGGGGGGGAACGCGGGGGGTAGAGGAGGAGGAGAAGGAGGAGGGGGACGTTTTGTGTTGGACGTCTGAATGTGAAGGGTCCACTGGGATGATGGTTTGACCGCCCCATTGGGTCAGCGGGCCATTGCCGCCGGGGCGTCGGGTGTGGGCGCGTTGTCCTGCCGCCAGGGGGGTCGGCGGCGCGGGCGCTGCGCCCCTCCCAGCGAGGGGGTGGGGGAGGGTGTGAATTTCCCCGCGCACGGGCCTTCGCCGGCCCCGCCCGGGGAACGGCTGCGCCCAAAACGGGGGCGGCGGGAGGTGGGGGAGGGGAGGACAGGGGGGCGAAGGGCGCGTCGGGGGAGGAGGGGAAAGTGGGGGGGGGAGGTCGGGAGTAACGGTTAGGGAGTAGAGGTGGACGGGGGGGGGCAAAGAGGGGCGGGCTGTGGGGGCAAGGGGGCGGGAGGTCGGGGGGGAAGGAAGCGGAGGGGAGCGGAGAGGCCCACCGTGGTCACGGCCTCGCCCGTCCTCCAACCGCCGAGCGGGCGGGGAGCTGAGAGGGGGAGGAGCTGAGAGGAGGAGGAGGAGGAGGAGGAGGAGGAGGAGGAGGAGGAGGAGGGAGGAGGAGGAGAGGAGGAGGAGGAGGAGGAGGAGGAGGAGGAGGAGGAGGAGGAGGAAGAGGAGGAGGGCGAGCAGGAGGAGGAAAGAAGGAGGTGGAGGAGGAGAGGGGAATGGGGAGGTGGAGGGGGGAAGCTGGGAGGCAGATCGGATCGAGGGGGGGGAGGGGGGATGGAAGAGCAGGGGGGCTCGCCGAGCGCGTTCCGCTACTCGCAAAGTGCCTACTCGCAAACGTCCGAAATGTACAGGTCTTCCTCGTCATGTAATATATCGTAGATCCCCCGCGGTGGATCCAGGCAAGTTGCGAGTAGTTGATTTGCGAGTAGTGGAACGCGCCTGTCCAGGGGCGGACGGAAGGGGGAGGCTCCGTGGCCACTCGGGGCCGTCGTGGAGCAGTCTTGGAGCCTCTTTGAAGGCATCGCGGAGTCAATTTGGAGCCATCTGAGGACATCTTGAGCCATCTCGGAGGCCACCTTGTGCTGTTTGGCCGTCTGGGAGCTGTTTTGGGTCATCTTAAACGCCCTATCTGCTGGCGACCCCCCCAGACGACGGGGTATGGAGGAGGGGTCAAGCTTCCCACAACCCGCAAACCGCCTCGCTCACTCCTCCCTCCCCACACCGATGTAGCATACGAGTCTCCGCAGATTCAGCGTTCGCCACTGGATGTGCAGACACTGCGAAACGGTACAGGCGCCAGGTGTGCGACGTTGGCGAGGTGCGCCACGGGTGCCACGCGCGCGCCATGCGCACCAGTTGCGCCAGGCGCTCCGGGGGCCCAAGTGTGTCAGGTGCGACTGGTGCGCCAGATGGGCCGCGTGCTCCACATGCGCCAAGCGTGCCGCGTGCTCCGCCCACGCCAGGTGCGTTAGTGGACGTGACAGCTCATGTCGGGAGCATGTCGGCCCCAAGGGAGGCGATGTGGCCATCATGGTGTCTGGTATTTGTACCCCGCGATCATTTTGCATGTGCTTTCGACAGGGATGGTGTTCCCGCGCGCGCCAGATAATGTGAGAGCCCTCCCCCCCTGCCCCTGTGAAAATAGGATACAAACAGCATGACCGCCGGGCACCCGCGCATAGTCCAGTAGTTGACTGTGTGTACTTTGTGTGTCGTGTTGCCTCTGACGCTGATGGTTCGGGGGGGGGCAGTTCGGCACGGTTTTGGGCTTGCCGCTGGTCGGGGTGGGGGATGGGGGGGGGTTGTGAATAGCGAGCAGACATCAGCCCTCCCTGATGGGGAAGGGGTTTGGAAGAGGAAGCACTTTCCACCTCTGCCTTGGTGGCCTTGGTGGCCTTGGTGGCCTTGGTGCCCCTCCTCCTCCTCCTCCTCCTCCTCCTCCTCCTCCTCCTCCTCCTCCTCCTCCTCTTCCTCCTCCTCCTCCTCCTCCTCCTCCACCTCCGCCTTGGTGGCCTTGGTGGCAGGTGGGATTTTCCAGAGGCCTCGGTGCGGCGGGGATCGGGGGTCGCGACGCGGCCCGCCCAGGAGCCAGCAGAGGCTTCGACTACCACGAGGCCAGCTCCAGCTATTTTCTCTTGGGCTGGCTTGCCTGTTTGTTTGTGTGCTTGTTTGGTTCATTTCCTCCGCTTGTGTCAACGGTTTTCCAGTTGTTGCACGCTCTCTCAATCCTCTGAGAGGGGAGCGATGGTGAGGAGAGGGGGGAACATGACGAGGAGTAGAAGGGAAGAAGGAGGGGAGAAGTGATGGAGGCAGGGAGTGGGGGGAGAAGTGGGAGAACGCGAACGATGGAAGCTGCTTCTGAGGTAGATCTCCGGGGGGAAGGCAGGGCCATCTTGACTGCTGCCTTCCGTCCCCCTCCTCTTCGTGTCCTGTCTTATCCCGTTCCTCTCGTGCGGCGCGCGGCTCCTCTTCCCTCTTCCTCCTCTTCCTCGACCTTCCTCTCTTCCCCTCGCCTTCTCCCTCCTGTTCCTCCCCCCCCTCGCCGTCGTCCTCCCACCTTCTGCCCCTCCACCAGTCTCCTCCCTCCCCTTTGGTGCCTCCCCCCTCTCTCATCCCTTCCCCCTCGTCCCTCCTCCGCTTCCTATCCCCGCCCTGCATACTGCGAGGTGAACCTCAATAAGCTATCGGAGAGCGAGATCAACGAGCACAAGGCTCGCATGGACGTCGTTTTCCTCGCAAACCAGAAGAAACCGGGGGACCCCGGCTTCGTGTACGACAAGCAGGCCTAGGGGACACCAGCTATAGCTAAAGCTCGCCACCAGGATGCAGCGCTGCATCAAGGGGACCCCATGCGTCCTTGTCTCCCCTGACATTCGGCATCGTGACTTTTTCGCAGCGTGGCTCGCGAGAGGTCCGGACCCTTCCCCAGGGACCGGCTCCTCATCCTCAGTCGTTTCTTGAGTGTCCCAGGGCCCAGCGAGGGCCCAGCGAGGGCCCCCCCAGGCTGAAAAAGGGCTCAGAAGCCGCCCTCGTGGCTCTTTCACGACGCGAGGATGTCAGGGTATCAGGGCCGCCCTCTGCATCCGTGCCCTCTCGGCCCAACGCTCAGCCACAGAGCCCAGGGCTGCGACCCCTACGCCGCTGCAGTTGCTTCCGGCGCGGACGGCCACGACCCTGCCTCCCTACCGTGGGTCGGGGGCGGAAAAGAGGGGGGTGGTGACTAGGGGGGGGTGGATATCATGGCGTGGGCCATGATATTTCCCCAGATTTCATGGCACCTCTTCTTGTTTCATTACGTCCCTGGCTCCCCCACTGGGCCGCGCACATGCCGCCAGTCATGATTTGCACCCCCCCCTTTTGGACACCCCCCTCTTGGCCTCTCCCTACCGTGGGCTTCGACTCTGCTCGCCCGCGCCGTCCCTGGCCGCGCGGGCCCTCGACCCTGGATCTCTTGACACGCTCGGCCCCCTGGCCTTATGTCGGGCGTGTCCCCCTACAGGGGGAGTTTCGACGACAAATGAAAAATACCCTAAAAATACTCCGAAAAGGCCAGCAAATATTCAAAAACTAGTCCCCAGACAATTTTTGCATCATTTTTGGACTATTTTGGGGGTATTTTTTCTTCTTCGTCGAAAATCCCCCTGTAGGGGGACAGGCCCGACTCAACCCTGGCCTTCGCAGGGCGCTGGCGTCTCCGCCGATGCTGGTGCCCAGGATCGGCTCGGCCGCAGTAGGCCGGCGTCGAGGCCGGCAGCCAGGTTGGTGCCTCCCGGCAGGTGGACTTCGAGACCGAGTCCCAGGGGTGCGGCTGGGATTCGGACGAGGACGACGCCTGAGCGACTGGCATGTAGTCGGCGCGCTTTTCCTTGAGACTGCCCTGCCCCGGGAGCGTCACCGCCCCCTGGGAAGCCTGACTCCTCCGCCTCCCCCGTGGCTGCAGCGTCCGAAGCGGGGTGGGTGCACGTGGGCTCGGCATCGCTCGGACGGGTGCACTCTTTCTCGGCGGGGGCCATGAAGCAGCATCCTGGCTATCGTCCCGCGAAAAAGCCACGCACGAGACCGAGCAAAGACACAGGGGAGTGGACGAACGCGCCCGTCCAACGTGGGCGCCCGTGCGGCGAAGGCCCTCGACGAGGTGGCGCCCGTGGGGGCGTCTAGGCCACCCCCCCGGGGGCGCGAAGACCACCGCGCGGCGCGCGCCGCGGCTCGGGCCGGGGCAGCTGCCCTGCCCAGAGGGGCCGGCGCGAGGGCGCGAGCGTTAATCGCCACCCACCAAGCCACCCCAACCCAACCCGAAGGCTCAGATTTGCCCTCGATTTCCAGTGGGGGGGGGGGTCGGGAAACCTCGAAAAAACACACGTGGAACCCTTGGCCCCCCCAACCCGAAATCCGGGTCTTCGGGTTGGGTTGGGGTGGTCTGGTAGGTAGTCAGTTAAGTCGGGCCTGTCCCTCTGCGGGGGGTATATTCAGAAGCAGTCAAAACATATTCAGGGGACGGTTCGTTTTTGGACGCTTCTTGACCATTCTGGGGCATCTTTTGGGGTATTTCTTACTTCTCGTCCGACGTCCCCCTGTAGGGGTACAGGCCCGACCTAAAAAGAGTGCCAGGAGGTACAGCCGCACTCCGCGCACCGCTGGGCGCGATGCGCGAAGGTTTTTTGGAGGTTGATAGACCTCCTACCCTGACACGTCGATTAGCGAACTGGCCGTTTTCGGTTCGCGAGAGGGCGTCGCGGTCCTCATTTTTGCGGGTCCAGGTCCGTCGGTGTCGGTCCCAGGCCAATTTCACTAAATGGAGGTTTGCTAAAGGGAGGTTTGTCCACCGCCGAGTTTAGATGGCTGGGTTGCGTGGCGCGGTCTGTGGTGTGCCGAGGCGGCGCAGCCCGCACCGGTCCTGGCCGGGCCAGCCCTTGGCCCAGGACCGGGGCGGGCACCCCTCGCGGGCGAAGCTTGAAGTCGGGCCTGTCCCCCTACAGGGGGATTGTTTGGACGAAGAACTAAACACAGTCAAGCATACCCCCAAACGGCCAAAAATACCCCAAACATCATCCCCCGACGATGGTTTGACTATCGCACGTCGTTTTCGGCACCGCCTGATCCCGAGGCTTTGCCTCCTCCTGGCCTGGCCGTGAGGCCGCGCTCCTTCTGTCCCCCCCCTCTTTGCTAATTCAAGCTCCGCGCGGCCCGCTCAGCTTCGGCCGGAAGAGGTGCGCTCTCGACCCGCGAATCAAAAAAAGAGTTCTTGAGTCTTCCCCCTGCAGAGGGACGGGCCCGACTCGAGCGAAGCTGTGGCGGGGGGTGGCGCCTCTGTGGATCCTGGGCCCACGGCCGTCACCACCCACCAAACCACCCCAACCCAACCCGAAGGCCTCAAATTGACCTCCATCTTTCCAGTGGGGGGGGGGGGGGGATCGGGGAACATCGAGAAAACACACATGGAACCCGTGCCCCCCCAACCCGAACTTCGGGTCTTCGGGTTGGGTTGGAGTGGCCTGGTGGGTAGTCGGGCCGGCCGAGCGGGGCTTTCGCGGGAGGGCGCCGCCGCGCAAGAGACGCGCGCGCCGCCGTCGGGGGCCCCTCGGCGCGCTGCGGTCTCGGCCGTCCTCCCGGCGCTCCACGGCGGCACGCGGGGGGGGGGGTTCCCCGCGGGCGGCGTGTCCTGAGAGCTGCTTTTGCCACCGTTGCGTCGGGCCTGTCCCTCTGCAGGAGGAGTGTCCAGACAATGGTCAAAAAAAAAAGTAGTCCTGGGACGATTTCTTAGTTCAGGGGGGAAAAAGCCCACACACAGACACAATTCATCGACGATCCCCCGGAAGATATATGGGAACATATGGGAAGTGGGGGGGAAGACGAGAACCCGGAAAATAGGAGCAAGTATGGGGAATCCTGTTATTTGTGTGTATTTATTTGTGTGTCCCAGGGCCTCTTCAGTGTCCTGAAAACTGTTTTTGCCACCGTTAAGTCGGGCCTGTCCCTCTACAGGAGGTGTATGCAGAAAGTGGTCAAACAATAGTAGTCCTGGGACGATTTTTTTTTAGTATCGTCTCAAATCGGCCTGTAGGGGGACAGGCCCGGCTTAATGCTACTATTGCCCGCTCGGGAGGGGTCTTCCTTCTCCTCCTCTTGCCCCGCCCTCGTTGCGCGACGGGGGCCGGGCCGTTGCTGCAAGACCTGTGCGAAGCGGACTGGGGCGGTTGCCTGTTCCCGCAGGTGGCGGCGACGGCGGCGGCGGCGAGGACGGCGACGGCGGCGATGGGGACGTCGATAGCGGCGGCTACGGCGGCGACGGCAGCGGCGGCGAGCATGGCGGCCGCGGAGGCGACGAGGACGGCGGCGGCGGCGGCGGCCGAGCTGCGCGGCAGACCGCTCCGCAGCGGCGCTTGGCCGCCCAGCCGGCGGATCCTGGGCCTCGCGCCGGCGGCCCCGCGATCCGTGGTCGAGTGCCTGCCTCTCCTGCTCGGCCCGGTCTTCGGGGAACGAGCAGTTGCATAAACAGAAAGAGTTGGAGGTCCGCGCGGGTTCCTCGGATCGGCGCTGGGGCCCCCTGGCGTGGGCGCGTCAGCACGCCCCGTCGAAGAGGCAGCCGTTGGCGATTTCGGCGTCGAGCTTCGCCGTTGGGCTGCCGCTGGCGCAGCATGTCCGTGTGTTGCCGCCTTTGCCTTCGGCATTGGGTTGTGCCACTGGGCTGCGAATGCTGGGAAGCGCGCCTCCAGCGCCGCTCCTGGCGCGCTCCGCGCGCCAGGGAGTGGGGTCCAGCGCCGACCCGAGAGCTCTGCGCGGACCTCCGAGTTTGTACGTGTATGTTTTGCTTGTTTCCCTAGTTCTTCTCGTGCTCGTCGTCCACATCGTTCCACTCATCCGTGGACTTCCACGCCACGCTGTGCGCGTACTCCAGGACACACGTTCAGGATCCTCACGCTCTGAACGTGCTCCCACTCCTCTCACCGAGTGCTCCGCCTCTCCCTGCGCGCTTGCGGTGCCCAACTCGGCCCCGTTGCATCCCACGGCTGCCCCCCCCACGAACGCGGTGAGGACCCTCGCCGCCACGGACCAAACAAGGTCCTCGTCCACCTCCCCATGTCCGC